GAGGTGGTGACCCTGGTGATATATTGTGCTGCCTGTCTCTACACAAGTATTACAGCTGCTTCTGGTGTGTCTGTAAGAGGAAACAGACAATGAGGGTTCATCGTGCCAGACAGTGTGAGAATCAGAGAAGTCTGTACTGTACATACTGTACATTGCTCTTTCATTGTATGTGATCCCTTTTGAAAAGTATTATTGCATCTCTTTCTGTAAAATAAAATATTTTGGATGAATACATTCAATTTTAAACCATGAGTATATCATGAGGTTGAAGGTGTTGCCCTCGGATCTTGTTTTTTTTTTTTCTATTTGAGACACCAAATATATATACTTATACTATATATGAGAAATACTGGATTAAATTATATAAGAAGAATTATTCTTCTTTCATAATCTCATAATGTGTTTAGAATAGACATCCTCAATCAAATTTGATTTGAATTTGATCTTAAAATATCAGAAGAACAATGTGAGGAGGTTTCAAATGAAGGACTTTGGTAAGACATTTTTAAGTTCACGGTGTATCTGTGATTGTGTATTTATTTGAAAAAAAAAAGGATATACCTCATTGTCTCACAGCACACCCCAGTAATTAGTGTGCATCAATGTTTTCATCCCACACCAGTAAACAATGTTTATTTCTGGAAAAATCTGAAAACTCCATGTTAAATAATGGGATGTGTATAAAAAGTGATAAACCTTTCACTTTTAATACCTGCTAAATTAGAAAGAACCTCTAAGCCTAAATCTGAAAATCCCTCTAAGTCTTAATTAATTGAGAACTTAATGTCTACATATTGGTATATGCTGACATCCTAGGAAACCAAACTGAATTAATAATTTTTTTCATACCACAAATGGTAACATCCATGTCTTCACTTTCTGTGTCAGAAGAATATTCGTTAGAAACAAAACTGATAAACCACTTCTAACTTTATACTCTTCAACGTCTTCTATAGAGCACAATGAAAATAGTTTTTGTACAAGCAGCACACTGACTTCTCTCACTGTGTCTAGAGCACAGTAATACACTGCAGTGTCTTCAGTCTTCAGGCTGCTCATCTGTAAGTTCACTGTGCTTTTGGAATTGTCTCTGGAGATGGTGAATCTTCCCTTGACAGATGGGATATAATTTGTGCTATCACCATCATCATTGATGTAGCCCAACCATTCCAGTCCTTTCCCAGAAGCCTGTCGGATCCAGCTCACATAATAATCAGTAATGGCATTGTCAAAGCTGTCCTGCCCAGAGCCCTGACAAGACAGTGTGACAGAGTCTCCTGGCTTTTTCACCTGAGGACTGGACTGGGTCAGAACAATGTCACACCGGACACCTGGAAAGACAGAAAACAGAGTTAATACCTCGACTGCTTCCACAGTAATTAATATTGCAAATGTACCTGCTGGTCCCTGGTTGAGTGAAATATGCACCTGTACACAGTGCCATCATGAAGAACACAATAAGCATCTGCATTGTGACTTGTCAAGTCTGACACAATGAGTCCGTCAGTGCCTTACTTACTTGTGATCTGGGCAGCAGCAGAGGGTTAAATAAGATGTGACACAGGCAGATTTGCATACCCCTGCAAGAGGTCTCATTTAAATAGCACTGACTCCTCGGGGAATGAGCTATTATCAGTCCATCAGAGTGAACGTCTCAATTACAGCTGCTCCATTTTCAATCAGAATCAGAAGTCAGTAAAATGAGTATCAGTCACATCACATGGAAGCAACTATGTTTATCTACATTGAATATACCTACTCCAGTCAAGGCTCTATTTCTTCCATAAGCAGGCACCTATTCTATTAATGCATCTGTAAATTAAATCCAGGGTTTCAGAATTGTGGTTCGACTAGATTCTAGCTTTCAAAGCCAGGAGAACTTTGTGAATCTGCCTTCTTGTCCATTTGAGGCCTGTGAGTTGTATCCCTTTAAACACATTAATTAATTATTAATTAATTAGACCTTCAAATAGTACACACTTTGTATCTTTGATTAATTAAATGGATTACATTTGAATAGCACAACATAATATAGCAATATGCCATATATATGTAAAAATATTCAGAAAACATTACAATGTTTTGTTTTAAAGTCATGATATTTTACAGATTTGTGAAACCTGAGGTATTTAAGATTTGAAATCACTACAAATATGAGCTGAATGGACACTGAGTATGAAAGTGTGATTGCCCCAATAATCCTTAAGAAACATGAAACAGTCAATGGTAATATCTTCTGAAATCCAGATACAAAATGCAAATACTTCAAACCACAGTGATGAGGACTGTTGAACATTGAGAGAAGTGGGGAGAGTTACACCACCCAGAATCAGGATGTATCAAACAGGTGTTTTTACTGTGAGAGATATTTCTGTCACAAACCCTCCTCCACTTGATCTCCTGGGAAGGTGGGCTGCTCACTGAACGTTTCAAGAGAGGAAAAGCAGAAAACCGTCTGATTCACTGGAGATCCCATCAGTTTCCTGAAACTAATTGAATCCAGGATGAAGACAAACACTCTCAGGAAGTGGAGAAGTAAGGCTTTACATAACAACAACCACTAAATGACATGCATATGACCACAGAATACAACAACAACACCATACAATGCCCTTTCATTCAGTAACTAGGCAAAGCATTTACCACAGCTGGTTGTCTAACATACCAGAAATCACTTCAACATCTCCGTCTTTGCAAAGAAGAATACCTCTACGAATACCCATGATGACAATCTGTGTACAGTACGTGTGCAGTTCGAATGCGCAACCGAATTACAAGGAACACGCACTGGCCATAGAAGTGCAGCAATTCATTTTGCCATCACTTTCCCCGTGGACAAAAGCAGCTTAGTATTAAACTAGCTGGAGACAGTCATCAGCGTTTAGAGATCAACCTGCTAACTCAGTTCCTTTTCCATCCGTTGTCTGGAAATGATCTATCTGCTATACTGTATTATTTTCCAGAAAGTGACAAATGGGATATTATCATTTTATAATTCATGTTGTAGAATTCTTGTAGGATTTGGGATTGCTCCTTCCATACATCTTAATGATGTATTCTCTGTAATACAATTGTGTACTGCATAGTAACCCATGGCTTAAACAGTTTATGGATTTCCCTAAATGTATTACTTCTGTCGTTTTTGCATCATCTGTTTGCTGAACTTGATCAGTGTGTCTGCTGCACAGTATTACACAGCAGAGTCTTCTATCTTCAGGCTGCTCATCTGTAGACAAACTGTATTGTTGGGATAGTCTCTGAGGATGGTGAATCTTCTTTCAACAGACTGGGCATAGCTTGTTCTTGTCACGCCCTCTGTAGCCAGAGGGCGCTCCTTCTCTGTCCTGTCCCTAGTTTCCAGTCTGCTGTCCTTCCTGTCCCTCTCTTTCCCTTGGGCTATATATTTCCGGGTCTTGCACTCTGCCAGGGCTCAGGATTGACGTTCGATGTCCTGAGACCCGCCTAGCACCAGGTCGCCCCACGTCCGCTACCTGAGGGCATTGGTTTCTATACGGCACTCCTGAACTCTTTGCACTATTGAGCCCGGGCCTTTTTCCCGTTCCGCCGCTACGCATATGGGTCTTTTTCCGCTCTCCTGCTCCCCACGGTTAGTCCCTTTGGACGTCCGTGACAGTTCTATCACCACCATAATCAATGTAGGCCAATCATTCCAGACCTTTCTCAGGAGTCTGTTGGACCCAGATACAAGGATGGATGGTATTACCATCCTCATCTGGAGGAAAGACCTGACAAGACAGTATGAAAGACTCTCCTGGCTTCTTAACCTGAGGAACTGACTGGGTCATTAACATGTCAGAATGGACACCTGGAAACAGAAAACAAAGTCATAAAGTTACTGATTGTTGCTGGAGTGACACTCTATCTACTTTACTGCAGCTGCATTTCTCACACGTAATTAAAATACTCACTTATCAAACACAGGACTATCATGAGGAAAAGGCTTAATGTCTGCATTGTCACCTGTTAGCAATGACACAGAAAGAGAACTTCAGCGTGAACTGTCTCTCTTCCCTTGTGTGGCTGTTATGTCAGAGGGTTAGATATCAAGAGGAGCAGGTAGATTGGCATAAACCTCTAGGAGAGGAGATTTAAAGATGCAGTGACCCCTGATGTTAATTTGAACTGTCTGTCTGTGCTCTATTTATAAAGTTTGTTTTTGCAAACTTTGTTGGAAATTTAAAATTCTTAAAGAGATCACAGGTCGGTACATTTGACATATTTGAGTGCCATCTAATTCACTCCCTACTGTTGTCCCCTATAAGATAAATTGAGAGGCGTGTGCACAAGTTGTGATTTGAAAAAGAGGAATATTTATTTGATATCTTTGAATATCTGTAAAATGAGTAAATTGATCTTTAAATCATTAGCATAACACTTTGGAAAATAAATTGCTTATGGCAGAATTTAGCATTTGAAGTAATTAATAACCAGTAATTGGAGTTTGCATGATCATATAATGTGTTACAATCAAACTACAGTATACCTCCAAATTCTCTCATAGAGCTTCCCAGTGGATAATGGGTTAATGGATGAGATGTAGAGTATTTGTTAAAATGTATTTAACGTTAACCCATGATCACGTCACAAGATAGAGTTGATCTTGGATTTTTTAGGTCAGGCCCTAAATTGAAACAGCTTGTAAAGGAACCTTTTCAGATCCTAATGTGAACATTAAAACTTCCGGAGAATTTCTGATTTTTGGGGGCATCTATAAACACGTATTTGCTGTGCTGAACTGATTGATATTGCAGGAGAAATATAAATTGTTGTCTTTGTACCAGTAAATACGGCTCAGAATACTGGCTCTTGTAAAACTGTTGCATGTTATTGGTGAAATGTATAATGTAAATAAGGGCAAAATTGTAGTAATAATCTAGTTCTTGATATTGCAGGAGAAATATAGATTTATATGTGGTTCTTAGAGTATGTGACGTCTTGTAACTACTGCGTATTCGTAAACAGTGACAGTTATTGTACAGGCAGTGAAGGGAACTTCCTCACTGTGGTCTTCGGGCACAGTAATACACAGCTGTGTCGTCAGACTGCAGGCTGTTCATCTGCAGGTAGACTGAGCTGCCAGGCTTGGAGATTGTGAACCGGCCCTTGATGGAGTCTGCATAGCTTGTGTCAGCATCATAGTAAATGAGTGCCAGCCACTCCAGTCCCTTTCCAGAGGGCTGACGAATCCAGCCTGTTGCATAGCTGCTATCCGTCAGGGAATATCCACTGACTGCACAGGACAGCCGCAGGCTCTGTCCTGGCTTTCCGATCTCCGAGCTGGACTGGGTCAAGACCACATCACAACTGGCATCTGCAAAACCAGGAAACACAAAACAACCTCTTACTAGACATCAGAGACACAATATATACAGCAGACTTAAACAAAGCCAACAGGAAACACTCACGTTGCACAAACATCAAGACCGGTAATACTCCTGCTGAGAGACTCATGTTTGTCTCAGGACTGTGACTGTGAACCCTGGACAGACAGTACAGGTTTCCTCAGGGATCCCCTGTTCATCTGTGTTTAATACGCCTCTGCCTCTCGCTTTGCATGAGGGATTTGCATGAAGTTTGAGAAACAGGAAGCTCAGCTCTTTTCTCTTCGATAAAATCATTCAGAGCTATAGAGACATGATCTATGATGTCTCACTTTAATGTATAAGTTTGGATATGTGTACATGAATGGGTGGGTGTATATGTATAAGATCTTTCTGCACAGAAATGTTGTTATGTTTTTTTTGTAACATCTTTTTTTAACAAGTTCTGTCAGTTGTTTTGCCAGTACCATATTCCTCATGTATACTACATTTATATTAGTATCGTCGGTCAATATCTGCACATTATCGGAAT